AAATTAAGACTACAAACTATTATAGATCAGAAATTAACAAAACATGACAACTAAATTCAATGTATAATCTTGTTTTGGGTTCTGAACTGGGAAAAATAGCTACAAAGGACAATATTCATAAAAATGATAAATTCGAATATGTACTATAGATTATAGTATTGTATCAATTTTAAATTTCTTGATTTAAATAAATGTACTGCAATTATATAAGAGAATGTCCTTATTCTTAGAAAATATACACTGAAGTATTTAGGGATAAAAGGGCATGATATCTCCAATCTTGCTCCCAAATGGTTCAGGAAAAAAATACACACACGTGCGCGCACATGTGCGCACACACACACACAGGCAGAATGATAAAATAAATGAAGTAAATTGGGTAAAATATAAGCAATTGTAAGCTTGAATCAATATCAAAACAAAATTTACCAAAAATCAGATAGATACTACTATTACCCTATACTATAGATGAAGAAAATGGGGATCAGAAAGCTGAATCTGGATTCAAACCCAGAGTTGCTGATTCCAAAGTCCATGCTCTTAACTATCAGAGTATATGGGGGCTCTTGGGTGGCTCAGTCGGTTGGGCATCCGACTTTAGCTCAGGTCATGATCTCATGGTTCATGGGTTACACCCCCGTGTCCCTTTGGAAATGCTATGTAAGGTCAGTTTGTTAGTCACGTACTTAAGATTTCACCTTGATTTTTCACCTATATTCCTCATATCTCAATGTTACTCTCAGAATGACTACTTTGAAGGGAATGCATGAACTATGTCATATGTTTTCGAAGTTGTCAAATGACTTTATAGATATCTTTATTGGATTTTTCCAGCCTTTTAAATACATCAAGAGCCGTAGTTGCTTTAAAAGCTGATGTGGTTTGCAAATATCTTCTCCCATTCTGTAGGCTGCCTTTTGGTTTTGTTGCTTGTTTCCTTCACTGTGCAGAAGCTTTTTATCTTTATTTTCTAATGTTTATTTTTGAGAGAGAGAAAAAGAAGAGGGACAGAGTGGGGGATCAGAGGATCCACAGCAGGCTCCGTGCTCACAGCAGAGAGACCGATTCTGGGCTCGAACTCAGGAACAGTGAGATCATGACCTGAGCTGAAGTCCGACGCTTAACTGACTGAGCCACCCAGGCTCCCGGAAGCTTTTTATCTTGATGAATTCCCAATAGTTCATGATGAGCACTGGGTGTTGTATGTAAGTGATGAATCACTGAATTCTACTCATGAAACCAATATTACCCTGTATGCTAACCAACTAAAACTTTTTTAAAAGGCTGATGTGGAGTGACAAGATAATGTGATGCGGAAAGAATAGTTTTTTTGATTGATGGTTCTGGGACAATGGAGTATCCACATGCAAAAAAATGAAGTTGGATCTGTTACCTCATACATATACAACAATCCACTCAAAATGGATCAAAAACCTAAATGTAAGAGCTAAGACTATAAAGCTCTTAGAAGAAAGCAGGGAAAAAAATCTTCTTGGCCTTGGATTAGTCAATTAGTCCTTAGAACAGCCAACATGCAAACAGAAGTTAGACAACGGGGACTTCATCAAAGCTAAAAAATATTTATGCTTCAAAAGACAATGTTAAAAAAGTGAAAGCACAACCCACAGAATGGAAGAGAAATATTTTCAAACCACATATCTAATAAATGACTTAGATCCATAATACAAAACAAACACTTACAACTCAATAACAAAAAGACAAATAACCCAATTTAACAATTGGCAAAGGGTTTGAGTAGACATTTCTCTTAAGAAATTATAGAAATGGCCCATAAACACATGAAAAGAGGCTTAACACCATTAGTCATCAGGGAAATGCAAATGAAATCCACAGTGAGATACCACTTTACACCCACAAAGATGGCATTAATCAGAAAGACAGTAACAATTATGGGGAAAGCTACGGAGAAGGTGGAATCCTTGTGCACTGCTGGTGGGAATGTAAAATGATGACTCCCCTGTAGAAAACTGTCTGGCAGTTAACCAAATGGCTAAGCATGAAATTACTACATAATCGAGTGATTCCGCTCCTAAGTATATACCCAAGAGAACTGGAAACATAAGCCCGCCCCAAAACCTGCACATGAATGTTTGTAGCATCATTATTCATAAGAGCCAAGAGGTGAAATAACCCAAATATCTGTCCACTGATGAATGGATAAGCAAAATCTGGTATCTCCAGATCATGTATTAATTGGCCACAAAAGAGAGTGGAGTACTGATGGGTGCTACAACATGGATGAACCTTAGAAACAGTATGCTGTGTGAAGGAAGCCATATATAAAGGGCCACACATGATATGATTGCATGTGATTATATGATTCCATTTATAGGAAATGTCCAGGATAGGCAAGTCTATAAAAACAGGGAAGAGATTAGTGGTTGCCAGAGGTGGAGGGGAGAGGACACGTTAAAGAATGATTGCTAGCAGACATGGGATTTTTTGGGGGGTGACGAAAATGTTCTGGTGTTAGGTTTCAGTGATCAAATGCACAACTCTGTCAATATAGAAAAAAACCACTTGACAGGGTGGATTTTATGGTATGTGAATTATATCTCAATAGAGCTTTTTTTTTTTTAAGTAGGCTCCAGGCCCAGCATGGAGCCCAACACGGGGCCTGAACTCAAGACTCTGAGATCAAGACCTGGACTGAGGTCAAGAGTCAGACGCCCAACTGATTGAGCCACCCAAGTGCCCCTAATAAAGCTATTTTTTTTTTTTGAGAAAGAGAGGGTGCAAGTGAGTAAGCTCAGAGAGAGAGAAAGAGAGGGGCAGAGACAGAGAAGGAAAGAGAGAGAAATGGGGCTCACCTGAAGCGGGGCTCTTGCTCACCCAAAGCAGGGCTTGAACTCACAAACCACACGAGATTATGACCTGAGCTGAAGTTAGATGCTTAACCAAATGAGCCATCCAGGTCCCCCAATAAAGCTATTTTTTTAAAAAAGGCAACATCTAAGCTCCTACTCAGAAATTGCTTTAGGCTTTTTACACTTCCCCATGCCTCACTACTTACCTTCCCTGTCCTCTCAGCCATGTCTGATTATGTATTTGCATTCTAACTTTCCAGCTTCCCCATTGACTTTGAAGAGCCCCAGGATTTGGACATTCCACCCACAAGTGTTTCAGCAATGGACACATAACACATGTCAGCACAATTAGTACCAACGAGACCCAATTTAGGGACTCCCAATGCTCTACCAGGGAGGGGATGCCGCTGTTGGATTAGGCATTGTGAGACAGAAGGTATCAGGGGTTTCCGGTAAGGTTCTGAAAATGGAAACCAACCCCCAAGGAAGTATCTCTAATGGCTCCCGATAAAATAATTGACACTCTGTGTTAAGCCATGCATGCAGTTGGCTCTACTTCTAACCATTTAAGCTTATAGTGAATTACAAATGACCTGTTTTGCGTAAGCCTCTGTGGGTCTTTTCATTTACTTATTTTTGGTCACTTGCAATGAAAGAATCCTAAGTGATATCAAAGGAGGGATAGGTTCCAGCCTATCAAAGGAGGGACACCAGACATTTCCATGACCCATGTAATGTGGACTCTCATGAAATACACAAACGAAACGGGCATCCAACAGTTGTCCCTCTTTATCTGAAAAGCTGGAAAGAAAGTGGTACCATGCAGCAGGATGGTACGGGAATCAAGAGTTGCTATCCAAAAGCCAGAGAGGTTTATTGCCAACAAAGGGGGCAAAGAACGTGAAGGTCTCAATAACCTGCAGAAAGGATAAATAATTAGGTTGGTTTTGGGTAAACTAGCAGAATCCCCACACGAGAAACTGCATTTGCTCTCTACGAGAGCCAGCCAAAAGAACACCTATAAATATGTGAGTAGAGGCTTGGAAACAAGCAGAAACTCAAATGAAGGTCGTCACCTCAGAGAACCCAGAATGAAATGTGGCTGTAACTAAGGAACATGACGTCCAAGTATATACTCTGCTGCACTCAGCCCCTGCTTGGCACATAGCAGTGTCGTTAAATGTGTGTTGAGTTAGAGTGGATCTGTATGAACACAAGGGTCCACACGCCAGGGGGACATCTAAGGAGTCTCAAATAGGCAGTCATCATCCACATGAAGTCCAGGGGACAGGACATCTCACATACATAGAAACATAATTAGGAACATGCATATGGATATGGTTAGAGACAATAGGGAATGAGACCGACATCCACCACTGGACTACAGACCTACTCACAGTGCGGGGACCTGACCTTGGACTCTTCTGCGTTGAACAAGGTAAATTTCACCTACTGTGGCCTCTTGGCAGCCAGCCAGCTGGCTTTCATCTAGCGATAACCTCTGCATTTGTCATGAGCTAAGCTAGCCTTAGCACCGCAGCTATGTTAACCTATGTACCAAGTGGTGAAAAAGCTAACCATTGCATCAGGGAAGATGTTTAAAAGGCAGAAACCGTGCTAGCTAGTCAGTGCATGCGATTTTCTGCTCTGTGATTCCTCTTCCTACAGTCTTACATTGGGAGCCATTGAAAGACGATTAGGTGAGACTACCGCCCATGCAGAAAGAGTTCTAGGCCCCTTGTGGCCCCCAAGAGTAGGTCCAGAGGGCCCTTCCCCCACCTCCACTGGGCACACCGCATTCACAGAGACACTGCTGCGTCTCCTGTTCTAGATAAAAACACGTCCCAGATAAAAACAAAACAAAAACAAGCTTTCCATTTGTAAACCTACTTGGTCAATGCCAGGGCTTGCTTTGCTGTTTTGTGTGGTTACACTTTCTTATCAAAGGAAAACACAGAGGCTCCATTGAGCTCTGTGTGTTCGTCATAACTACAGAAAGGGAGTTTGATCCCTCCTTCATTTATTTTATTATTATTATTATTATTTTTTGATAAAAAGGCCAACAAAAAAAGTTTGCTCGGAGAGAAAGGATATTATGTAAATAATTAGCCCATTCCAAGATTCTGTTGCACATATATATAGTGCAGTAGAGAGCTGAAGAAAGGAGGAGAATTTGCAAGACGACGGGACAGTTTATGAATCTGAGAAACAGGCATTGTCTCTGGAGTCCTGCTTACCTAGAATTTGTGAAGAATAGGTTGGAATGAGGCCTTCAGCCCAGATCTAGATGTTCACCGTACGAAGAATCAGAAACCAGTAAAGGAGGCCTAAATGCTAATGCCATGCTGAGCTGAACAGAATCTCTTCATCCATTTATGAAGAGGCTGTGTTACCAAGTTGTGTAGACGCTCAGGGTCTCTGGCATGTGCACCAATTCTTCTACATGGGACCAAAAAGAGAAAGCTTGAGAAGAAACTCTGACAAAGTGTTTCTAGGATAGTCAGGTAAGAGTCTGCTCAGACAGGACCCTCTGGGGGAACCTGGGCAGGCTGACTTTGTTGATGCTTTTTTTCTCCTCTGATTTTATAGGCTCAGCCACTGCTTTCTCACCTATGGTTTGGTCTCCCAAGACTGTCTGAGGCATCAAAAGGTAACCATGCTGAAGTCTATACCTGACCATTAACCCATGTCTCTGTACCTCTTTCTTGGGTGCAAATGGGAATGTTCCTGCAAATATCTTCCGTTGTTGTTTCTCCAGTGTTGTCCTCTGCTTTCAAAGAAGACAGTGCTGATGTTGAAGGCTGGTGAAGACCAAAAGTTGTGCCATCCATCAGCATTTTGAGGGCATCCAGAGTTGCTGGTAGATATACCACACGAGCAGTCATAGATCTGGCCCTGCATTGATGAGCCAGCCGCCAATGAGAAGAGCCGTCTGACACCTTCAACTAGTCCACAGCCTCCCCAACCTGCTGTGTTCCAAAATCGTTTCAGGTATCCCTGGGGCCTAGTGTTGCTTTCAGCCCTCAGAAATGATGCTTGATACCCTCCTTCAAGAAGGGGCTTGTTGAGGGGCGCCTGGGTGGCTCAGTCAGTTGAACGTCCTACTCTTGATTTGGCTCAGCTCATGATCTCACGGTTCGTGCATTCGACCTCTGCATTGGGCTCTGTGCTGAGAGCGTGGAGCCCGCTTGGGATTCTCTCTCTCTCCCTCTCTGTCCTTCCCTTTCACTCGATCTCTGTCTCTCAAAAATAAATAAGTAAACATTTAAAAAAAGAAGAAGAAGAAGAAGAAGAAGAAGGGGCTTTTTGCTAGCCTTGACTAAACTCACATTTGCCTCTTGGGTTACTTCTGCTCTCTCTGCTCCAGGATAACGCTTTACCTGACCCGGTAACAGAAGCACAGAAAAATCAGAGGGGGCAGAAACATGGAAAAAGACATTCTAACTCACATTGAGCCTCCGATGACCCAGGCATGCGACACGGACCCGGCCACGGTGGCAGCACCTGCAAGAGCCCCGCCTGGGCTTCAGACTCCGCTTGAAGGTGCTGTGTCCGCCGCAAGTAGTGGGGTACATGTGGGACAGGAAAGCATGGAGCCAGGAGAGTACGATGAGGTGGAAAAAATGTCTGTTCTTAGTTTGGGGCTGAGCGCTGAGGCTGATGCCCCACACGCAGGTGAGGTTCCGGGTCACGCTGCGTTGCAGGGGGCCAGCAGCCAGGGCAACACAGGGAAGAAAACCAGCCGGAAAAGGAGGAATAGAAAGGAAAACAAGGTTGTATATCTCCCCTGGCCTCTGACGCTACAGACCCAGGCGTCTTCTGCAGCCCCAGTTCTGGGCCAGACTTGTGTCGCAGGGGCTCTGCCGATTGCTGATACTGGAGTCGGCGCGGTGTATGAAAACAGGGAGGAAGGGGAGTGGGATGACAAGGAGAAGGTACCCGTTGCCACCTGGCCTGAGAAGGCACATGCTGGCGCCCCACTGCCAGCAGAAAGTACAGCTCAGGCCTCTCTTGAGGAGGTGTCAGTGGCAGCCAATGAGGAGATAAAAGGAGACCAGACAGGCAGCCATAAAGGGAGAAATAAAAAGAGCAAAAAGGTCATGGCCAGTCCTTGGCCTCTGACAGTACAGGCTTGGGTGTCGTTCACAGGCCCAGGCCAGATGCAGATGGCTACAGCAGGGGCATCGTCATTTGCTAGGGATGGTGTCAACGCGGGGCCTAAAAGCAAGGGTCAGAAGGGTGAGGCGAATAAAACGTCAGCTGGCACTCCGTACCAGAGTGCACAGGACGGTGCCCCCCGCTCGGCTGAGGGTCTGGGGCAGGCCTCGTGGGAGGGGGCGTCCCCCCCTGCTGACAGCCCAGAAAATGAGGAGAAGAGAGCCGCCTATAAAAGAAGGAATAGAAAGAAGAGAAGCGTCTCGGCTGGTCCTTGGCCTCTCACAGTACAAGCCTGGGCATCATTTGCAACAGCAGACCAGGTGCAGACTCGCCCCCAGGGCGAGTCTTCTGTTGCAAGTATGGGGGTGAATGTGGGGCCAAGGAACTGGCCCCAAACAGAGTATAGTGAGGAGGGAGCACAGGCCGCTCTTCCTTGGCCTGAGAGGGTCCAGGCTGGTGCCCTCTTCCCGGCAACAGCCCCGGGACAGGCTTTACTGCAGGGGCATCCTTCCCAAGACCTACATTCCAAGGTGAGACAAATGTGTTGGAGACCCCAAGGGAGAGAGGGGGAACTGGTTCCGAGCAATCCAGAGCAAGTTCGGGAACCCTGTCAGGGATGTAGAAGAACCGAGAGATACCTGAGGGACCAGGACTTCTGGGAATGCACGGTGATGAATTTTGCTAGGCAGGTGGATTGTTGCTATTGTGGGGAGCTCTGCTCACAACAGCGGATGGAGGCTTTGACCCTGACCAAAGCCCACACCCACATCAGCTCTTCAGTGAAGGGACCAGAGAGTGAGAGGGCTAAATCTCAGGCAGTCTGGATGGAGAAATGGGGAGGTTTTTGAGACGCAGAGGAGAAAAGAAAGAGACCTAAAGAGTATTTTGGGTCCTGGAAGTGCCACCGTCTATATCTGTTGGGAAGGAGGTGTTTAAATGCCACTCTGAATAGGGGGTGCCTGGGTGGCTCAGTCTGTTAAACGTCCAACTCTTGATTTTGGTTCAAGTCCTGATCCCTCCGTTCATGGGATCGAGCCCCGCTTCAGGCTTTGCTTGGGATTCTCTCTCTCTCTGCCCCTCTGCTCACTCCCACTCTCTCTCTCTCTCATAAATGAATGAATGAATGAATGAATGAATATTTAAATTTTACTTTGAGGAAAGGGAGGCTCAGTACCCAACTGGCAAATTTCCCTGTTACATGGTAACATCACCAAGTACTCTCTGCAAGGGTGATTTTTCTCCAAAAATAAGTTTTGGTTTGTGGAGAATTGGCGCATACATGTAACACTTAAGAAAAGCAAAAATGCTTTTTTCTCTATGTTGTTTCCCCTAACATTTTCAGCATTGTTGAGAAAGGTGACTTACCTATAGCTAATAAGCTGTATTAGAGTTTTAGAGTGCCAACCAGCGATAGAATGTGTACTGCATCCTGAGCATACCTCTCTTGACTGGAAAGTGTTATTGTGTATATTGCATATTAGATTGTAAACTGACTTGATGATCGCATTTTGCTCTAAGACTGGCCAATTTACACTTGCTCAGAGCACAGGCTCTAGAGCCACAGTGCCTGCGATCTAAGCCCAGCTTGGGACTCACTCTTCTCTTCTTGGCCCCAGTCTATCACCTGGGGGTAATAATAGCACCTGCCTCATATATTATGTGATTAAATGAGTTAATACATATGAAGCATATAGACTAGTACATGGCATATAATAAGCCCTCAGACACTAACACCTATCATTGCTTTTGTGCAGTAAATGTCATGGAAGGGTCTAGCACTGTGGTACTATGTGCGTTAATAGTTATGCAAATGGCAGTGCCTACGTGAGGCAGGAGACGATGCCTCCGTTTACAATTATGGTAACAAAGATTCTTCAAGCCAAGGGGAAAGACGCTACTCAAGGGGGAAAAGCAGGCAATAAAATGGTAGCTATCGTTCTGAGGTGCACGATCTCAACCGTGTCAGGACAAGGTAGCACAATAAAGGCTGGGGGAGAATACGCTCCTGTGCTAATATCCCTTACTGCTGGATGGGGGGGATCGTGCCCGGCTGATGTGTTTCTGCTTCCTAGTTCTCTTGCGTAACGTCCAAATGTCTGCGTCACCGTGGCATCAGCAGATAATCAGCATTCATCAAGGAGGGTGACAGGGACAAGGACGAGGAGCCCTCCCGCCGGTGGACTTGTTGGAAGGAGTCGCCCAACGTGGAGGGTGCTCAGGGGACGGGACCCTCCCCAGGGAGGACTCCCCAGCCTGCAGCTGCGGAAAGAGAGGTCCAGGCACCTTTGGCTGGCGCTGGACAGGACGCACACAGCTCTGCCCACCGGCGAGGAAGGGAGGGACTTCCCTTGCCCGATTTTGCTCTGACTCAGTGGTTGCTCCCACCTGCCACCTGTGTTGAAATCTTCCCTGGAAGCTTGGCTGGACAAGGAGGCTGGGCATATGCTGAGATTAAAAAGTAAACTTTTGTATTGGCCTTTCGTATGGCGTGGCTTTGGGGGCGATTTAGTTAAAATGATGTCCTGATGCGTGCCCTGGCAACACTGAAGGGGTAGATATTCGTGGGGGGGCTCTGAGGGGGTCCACGTGCCCCCTTTTATGTGTCCTGGATGCTCTAGCAGGGCCTTTGGGCACTTTTGGAGAAGCGTCTTTGTGAAGGGGCAGGAGGGACTTTTCTGATGCCCACTCCTCTTCTTCCCCAGTGGGGTTCACATGCCCCTGGTTCAGCACAGGGCTGGTATAGTAGCCTGGTGTGTTCATAGGAGAAGAACACAGGCCGGAAGCCAGGCAAATCACATAGTCAACTGCTAGAAGGTGCTCAAGGAGTTTCCCTACTTTGAACATCCCTCTTTCCCACCCCAACCCCAGTACAGTTTCAGAATGAGGAGGGCTTTTGAGGAGGCCTGGTGTATAGTCTGGCTTTGGGGTAAATGTTCTGCTCTGCAGGAACACTGATTAGAGGTCAAGGTCAAGGATCCTCATCAGTCAACACTGGAATGGGTATAATGGAGTTTTTTTTTAATTTTTTTTTAAATTTACATTTATTTATTTTTGATAGAGAGAGACAGAGCACAAGAAGGGGAGGGGCAGAGGTAGAAGGAGACACAGAATCCAAAGCAGGCTCCAGGCTCCGAGCTGTCAGCACAGAGCCTGATGCGGGGCTTGAACCCACAAACCGCGAGATCATGACCTGAGCCTAAGTCAGACGCTTAACCGACTGAGCCACCCAGGAGCCCCTGGAGGTTTTTTTTACGTTCATTTATTTATTTTGAGAGACACAGAGACAGTGTGAGTAGGGAAGAGGCAGAGAGAGAGGGAGACAGAGAATCCCAAGCAGGCTCTGCACTGCCAGCGCAGAGCCCAATGCAGGGCTCGAACCCATGAATCATGAGATCATGACCTGAGCTGAAACCAAGAGTCAGGCACTTAACCAACGGAGCCACCCAGGTGTCCCAACAATGGAGTTTGGGGCATGATGAAGGACTCGGCTTTTGAGTCCCTTTGGCAGACTCATTCCATCCTCTCCCTGGAGCCATACAGGAGCAGAGGGAAGGATCAGAACTGAGCTGCCTACCCAGGTCAATGCAAATACCTGCCCAGGAAATCATGCAAACACCTCCAGAGCAGGCCTTGCAGGAAGCAGTCTGAAGGCATATGCAAAGCCCAAAGTACACAGCTTGCTCCCAGACGTCCCAGACTGTCCCGTCTGTTTTCCCTTCACCCTGCCATGTGGAAGCCCCAAACTACGCTTCCGACCCCCAAGGCCACAAAGGCAAAACACAAGCTGTCCTTTCACAGAGGGGAGCCTTAAAAAGTACAACAGGAAGCAAACAGCTGTCTCCCATCTCCATGTTACATTTTCTGCAAGGTTAACAATCCCTGCGCTGTTTCTGTCCCACTCCTTAATGACCCAAGCGGTTCAGCTATTAAGTGATAAATCCTCTGTGTATTCATGACTGGCTGGTTCAATTCTGTAGCCCAAACTGAAACAATCAAGAAAATTGAGCTACCTCAGAAGACTTAAGGAAGCCAGCTGCTGTGCAAGATGGAAAACAAATTCAAGTGGCAGTAGGAGCCCCATCCCCAAGAAAGAAATGCTGAAGCAACACACTGAATGGGATACAGGGCATAGACTGCAGAAAAGGGCAAATGGAGGATGAAATGGGGGAATAGAGCTACTAGTTCCTTCTGGTCACCTTCCCACTCCACTTTTGCTTTGCATCCAGGCGGCCAGCTGAAGCCAGCTGGTGGGATTTACTCCCAGTGGCTCCTCCAAGGTCCCAGTCAGCTGGGAGGATGGGCTAGCCACCTATCAATAGAGAGGATCTAGAAGGATGCCCTCCAGCTCCTGTCTCTTCACCTCCTGCCCACCCAACCAACATCCGCTTTCTGAAAAGAAATGTGGAGGGGCAGAGAAATGTCCCCTCCTTCCCTTCTAGGTTGTTTGACTGGTCTAATAATGAAATTGACTTAATATGGATTAACTGGAGAAAACCAAATTTAATTGTGTGTGTATGGGAGCCCTATAACATCCTGAGCTGAGGAAAGGGGTAGAGGTCTGGGGATACCAAGGGGAGGAAGGCCACTCACAGGAAGGCAAGAGGGGATGTTTCAAAACGGAGTTTGCCCTGGTGGGAGGAATAAGTCCACTGACCCAATCAAAGGAGGGACATGGAGACTTGGAGCACAGTGAAGTGAGGCTTTAATCAACGTTCTTGCAAGAGCAGGTGTCTGATGGACAGGCACACTCATGGCAGTTATAACAGGCAATTTATTTCCTAGCATGAAGTCCCTCCCCTGATTCCTCATTGGCTGAGTACCACAGAGGTTACAGCCTTACCCGGAAGTCGCCTATACCCATGTTAAGGCAAAAAGTAGTCTGATTGGAACAAATGTACATTCCCTGAAGTGATGCAGAAACTTTCGGTCCCTCCTTTCTTCTTCGGCACATGCTGCTTGCAAATCCCGGGAGAATAAGCCCGCGAAACGAAGAGGGGAGGAAGAACCAGGAAGTGAAGTGTCCAAGGGTTTGGGACTCCATTATGGGGGGAGGGTTCATATATATTTCCAATAGGTTGTAAACCTACTGTTAACTAGACAGCACAACTTTTATTTGGTATTTCTGAAAATGTATCATCTCCCTTACTTCCCACACCCGGCATGCACATAAGATTCTTAGGTAAAGATATGCCAAAGTGACATATCTTGAGGTAGTCATTTCTGCTTCCTCTTCAAATGCTGACCAGCTTTTTCTTTTGTAGATTTTAGATACGAAGCGGGCTTGGTTGGGCAAGCAGATAATGTTTGGCTGATGGTCTTTGGAGTCACTGTCACTCAATGGACATGTTGTACAGCCAGATGCCCACTCACTTGCTGCAGAAGAATATACGAAGCCCAGTACCTTCTCTGTGGGCTACAGGTGTTTAGAGGTATTTTCATTGTGTTTTCCTAGAGAACAAGCTCCAGTTTGGTGGTCCAACATCTGAATCATTCACAGTCTTTTTTTTTTTTTAAGTAATCTCTACACCCAGTGTGAGGTCCTAACTTACAACCCTGAGATCAAGAGTCACACGTTCTACCGACTAATCCAGCTGGGGACCCCCATAGCCTTTTTATAAACAGACTGCTGTTCACCGTGTCACAGCCTGACTCACTTCTAGATGACTGACTAGAAAATCACTTTTTAAAAAATGTTTATTTGTTTTTAAGAGAGACAGAGAGACAGAGAGCGAGCAGGGGAGGGACAGAGAGAGGCACACACACAGAATCTGAAGCAGGCTCCAGGCCCTGAGCTGTCAGCGTAGAGACCAATGCAGGGCTCGAACTCACAAACCACGAGATCATGACCCGAGCTGAAGTCGGACGCTTAACCAACCGAGCCACCCAGGAACCCCCAAAATCACTCTTAACTCCAAACTTACAAGACCAAACATCTTCATCCAGCAAAACATAGCATTTGGCTCTCAGGTGCAATAAATTCAGGTTTTTCTCCTTGACTGAACCACA